TATTCTTTTAATTATTTTTTTATTTATTAAAATTAGTATGATTGAATAAGTATTTTTTAATACCTTTCAAAAGAGATATCACTTCTTGCCATTTTATTAAAAGGTCTTGCCAAAGTTCCAATTTATTATTATCGGTCACAGTGGATCTTTATGGTCATTAATGACTATTACGTAACGTGTTTAAGCTAGTGTTAAAAAGCCTTCCTATAATAAATTTCCTCCTCTAATAAATTTCACTATTTTACACTATTATACGTATAACCGTTCAAAAGATAAGATAGGGACTTTTAGCTAGAACTTTATAACTGATTTCATAACTTCTTCTTCATGTGCCTTGTCCATTCCGAACGTTGGCAATCAACATGGCTATTCTGACTTTGTTTACGGCAGATCTGAATAGTTCAGCAGATGACAATCCAAACCATTGCCGCAAGTTTTGGAGCCACGAGTGTCTTCTCCTCCTTGGACCCTTTTTGCTGTCTATTTTCCCTTGAACGATCAGCTCTATATTTATTATGTCTCATAACGTGACCCAAGTATTCCAACTTTCTTTTCTTTATACTTATTCCTACCTCTCTCTCTTTACCTATCCGGCGTAGTACCTCTTCGTTGGTCACGTGCTCAGTCCAGGATATACGTAATATACGTCGGTAAGCCCACATTTCGACGGCCTCTACTTTTTTCATCAATGTTGCGGTCATGGTCAACACCTCCATTCCATATAACAAAACCGGAAATACATAACATTTCAGAAGTCGAATTTTGAGAGGTAGGGTGAGGCTTTTAGAGGTGAAAATTTGCTTCATACTAGTAAACGATGCTCTTGCCTTTTCTACTCTTATACTTATTTCCTTAGCTTGATCCCAATTTGAGTTAACTGTTGTTCCCAAGTAGATGTACGAATCCACGTGTTCAATTCTTTCATTGTCTTATATAAGTTGCTGTGGTGGTTGTTGTGTTTTGCTTACTAACATCTATTTGGTTTTTGTGATATTTAGTCTGAGTCCGTATTGTGCACTTGTTTTTTGTATCTTACTCATTAGGCAACTCAGTTCCTCCATGCTATTTGCTAGAATCACAGTGTCATCAGCATACCTGATGTTATTAATTATTTCTCCATTTATCTTTATGCCTTCTGTGATTTCCTCCAGCGCTGTCTTAAATACTTCTTCTGAGTATATATTAAAGAGAATGGGAGACAAGAGACAGCCCTGTCGTACCCCTTTCTTGATCTCAATTTTATTGGTCAATGTAGATCCTACTTTCACTTTAGCTGTTTGACCCCAATAGAGACTCGCTATTGTTCGAATGTCTCTGTAGTCGACTCCGATCTTATGGAGAAATTCAATTATCTTTTCGTGCTTTACGTTATCTAATGCATTTTATAACTTAAGTACTTAAAATTCTACCAAAAACAGTTTAAAACAGATTACACAAAAATCTGATTAAGAAGTGGGATACGATCAATTTGAATTAATAGCCGGAATGGCGACAAAAGCGGCTTCATTTTCTCTGATTACAGAATCTTCATTTCTTCTTCATGGTTATGGAATCTGCTTGTCTACAAATATGTAGGACGGAATTTTTTAAACAAATTTATAAATATAGAGAAAGTGAAAGAGAAATAGTTTATCTGGATGGGACGTGGTTTGACACCTATGACGTTCCAAAATGTGGTTGAGTAGATTCTTCTTGTTGTGTTGATGGAGATGTTATATAAATACAAATAAAGGAAAAAGTATTACAATCATAATATTTAGACTTCTTCCTTACTATTACATGTTCAGTCCGAATAAACACATATGGCATGAGCTAAAAGCATCGGTTAGAGAAAGTAATGTTTCGCCCATCCTAAATTTATCTGTGGTTCGTTTAATTAAATTAGAAATGGAGAAAATAGCCAATGACAGCTGAAAAATAGTGTTTTCCATGTTCTAAAGATGGAAAGATCTTATATAAATACAGATAGGTTGCTCAAAGAAACAATTATTATAGATCTAGATAACGATAGTGATAATGAAACTGACTTGTCCATGTAATTTTTTTTTAAATGTTTGTACTTTTTGAAATGTATTTATAAATGGTAAACTTTATATGTATACGTAATTCAGTGAAATATTTTTAAATTCAGTTGATAACGGGTTAAAGCCAGCTTTTAGACACAGCTCAATTTTGAAAATAAATTTTTAAAATATTTTTGCCTCTGTTTCTCGTTTTATAATCTATTTGAAAATGATAAAGTTTTGTAAATATGTGAATGTGTTCTATGTAAATATTTTTGCAACTATTATAACTTTAGTAGATCATGATAAAGACCGGCTCTTAACACACCTAACAATCGAATAAGTAACGCAAATCGAAAATAAAAGTACGATCCTGTCCAGAGGCGATCTCCCGCTGCCTTACGGCGGACACTTATCGATAATAAATATTAACACTTTGGCTACTGTATATACCATTTCTGGTACACAGTTGATGTTTACCAGAAACTGCGTGTACCAAATTTGGTCACATGAAATGGTAATGTTTCAAGCTGTGTGTACATTTGGTGAATACAGTTCTGATGGTTTTAAATGCGTATCTAGGTTCCTACAGTTTACTGCTAAATTCTGGCGAAGCAGTTTGAGACTCTTTCAGCAGATGGCATATTATGGCCATTTTCTGACTTGCAGAAACTTGTTGTTTGTGCAATATTAGTCTTGTGTGTTTACGGTTCTAAAATTAGTACTTAAAATGTCAAATAAAAAATTAAGTGATGCTGAACTACGTGAAATAGCCGAAAATATGAGTGAAATGGAGTATGAGTTTATCAGTGAAGATTCTGATGATGATGCTATGGATATAGATGATCCAAATGATCAAGATTCGTGTTCTTCTTCCTCTAATTTAGAAATTAACAGTGATGGGCAGGAGTTAGAATTCTAATCTGATCTAGAATCTCTCAACAACGATTCTGAACCTGATAATTTTTTAAATAATCCTAATCCTAATGTCATTTGGAATAATTGTGCAGGTAATATTTAAATTAGTATTTACTTTTATAGTTTTGAGTTTATAATTTTGTAGGTAATTTGAACACATTTACTTTCACGGAAGATTCAGGATTCTCCCAAAGTTTTTTTGCACAAAGGGAAGGAGATCATCCAATTCATTTTTAAAATTATTTATTGACAACGATATCTTATCACTTATTGCCGAAGAAACCAACAGATATGCTGAATAGAAAATAGTATCAGGAATTACAAATGAAACATTAACAAAACAGCATTATTGGGACAATGGAGAAACACAAATCAATCCGAAATTTTTGTTTTCTTAGGTCTTCTAATATGGATGGGTTTCGATCGTAAACCCACTTTGAAAGATTATTTTAGCACCAATATGCTGTACAAAAATAAAATTGGAAAATTTGTTCACATGTCCAGGATAAGGTTTGAGCTTCTTTTGCCCAATTTGCACTTATCAAACAACGAAATTGCCTCAGATGATAGGCTCAAAAATTTCTTCCCTTGCAAAATTTGTTAATCAAGAAGTTCCAATTAGCATATACTCCTGACAAGAATGTGTGTATATATGAGACGATGATTCCTTTTCGAGGACGACTGAGCTTTCGCCAATATATACCAGGGAAGCGTCACAAATACGGTGTGAAATTATTTAAACTATGTGGAGTGAAAGGTTACACATACAATTTTAAAATTTATACAGGAAAAGAGCAAACACCTAATGAAAAGCCAATTGGTACAAAAGTGGTGCTACAGCTTATGGAACCACTTTTACATTCAGGTCGCGTTTTGTGCACAGATAATTATTACACTAGCGTGAATTTAGCACACGAACTTCTAAACAAAGATACACATTTAATAGGCACACTGAGAAAACACAGAAAGCATAATCCAAAAGTAGTAAGTGAGGCTAAATTAAAAAGGGGTGAATTAGACATGAGACAGAGTAACAGTAAAATCATAATTGGAAAATGGAAAAGCAAAAGAGATGTCATGTTTCTCACTACGGAGTCTGTGCCTGAAATAGTGGACGTGCCAACAAAAAGGGGTGTCGCGAGAAATCATTTATAGACGTCTCTGATCAAAAAGCATCATATTCATCAGCAGTGCGTAGGGGTATTAAGTGGTATAGGAAAGTTTCAATTGAACTTTTGGTTAACACATCTATTATAAATGCACATACTGCATACGAGGCTATAACAAATAAAAAGATAAGTATCACTAAATTTAGAGAATAAATCGCATTAGAAATTTTTCGTAGTCAAAATATTCAGATGAAAAATTTGGATGATCGTCGTGTTAACCAAGAAAGAAATCACAAACTTTCCGAAGTGGAACAGAGAGGTCGTTGTACAAGATGTTATAAAAATAATAGTGCTAGAAATGGACGTAACTTTGCTATAAAAGAAACAAAAGGTGTTAAAACATCTTGTCTAGCATGCAGTGATAAGTTTTTGTGTACCCACTGCTTTTTTGACACTTATTACTGTCAAGCAAAAAAATGAACATTGTGTCCAAAAATGGTACACATAGTTTCTAAGAAGATAATTACGCATTTATTTCTGCCACAAACTGTGTGTACCATTTTTTGGCACGGCCCTTACACATGATTTTTTTTTTCAAAAAAATACCTAAATGTTGATATTTACATGTTTTTAGTATTAAATATTGTGAATTTTACCAAAATATAGTTTCAGTTTCTGACAAAAAACTTCAAATTTATAGCCAGTAGCCAAAGTGTTAATGACTCTCTTAGATCTCTGGTAGAACTATAAAGCTCATTTGCATGTATAGAACCCGAGTAACAATCGAAAAATCGTTTAATTCGACAAATTTAGTCAATATAGATTTCTTTTTCTTTTTTACAAATATTTTGGTTAATTTATTATAAAATAACATCAATTTTTAACGATTTTTTTTATTACATTATAAAAATGATATTTATAAAAAACATTTGAAAAATTGATTATATAAAAAATAAATATTTGTACCTACCTTAGATGTTTATTAAGATGAGAGAAGGAAGAGTCGATGTTGACAATATTTAAATTCTGCAGTGCTATTCCAGTAAACAACATTCCGACTAAAGCTGGTAAAGTTGTTAATCCAAACAACCATCCTCCGAAATGGGCAGATATACTCAGAAGGATCAGCTGAAATAATTGTCCTTTAGGGGGTGCAGCACTTTCACCCACTATTGCGTATAGTACACACCAAGATAAAAGACCTATTAAAGTTAAAGCTATAATTCTAGTAACTTTTCTGTAAGAAGGACAATATGGTTGGGGACAAACTCTTTTCCACATTTCCGGCTGGTATTGTCTTGTACTTTCTTCAGGCGAGTTAATTTTGAGACAGAAATCGTACCACAAAGAGGGACTAAAACAAAATTATATATTAATTAATTGTAAAAATCTGATAAGATTCAAATACTCTAATTATTGTAACACCATTTTGTGTATTATTATTTTATATTTTATCTGTCTTAATTTTATTGCAAGTTATGACTATAAAGTGGATACAATATTTTAATTGTGCCACTGTGTCATTGTACCATGTCAATATGAGACAAAATACTTAAAAGACGTGAACATAGAGACCAGAAATATCCTATATCTTACAATTATTAAATGAATGCTAAAAACAGTATTGCATGTAAAAACATGGAGATCGTATTGCAGGGACCTACATAAAGATGATCAACGCCAAGAGCTTGTTAGCCAAATCTCTGGCGAGGTAGAAGAAGAACCTGATATACTCGAAAATCAAGTAAGACAGGCTATCAACAAGCTCAAATATAACAAAGCACCAGGTCCAGATATGATAACAGCAGAAATGCTTAAAGCCACAGAAGAAACCGGCGTAAAGTTACTTCATCTACTTTGTCACCAAATATGCCATTCCAAACAATGACCTGAAGACTGGACAAAATCTACAATAACGACCATACATAAAAAAGGCAGCTTCCATAAATGCGACAATTATAGAACTATCTCTCTTGTATCCCATGCCAGCAAGATAATGGTACATATCAATGAGAGACTGAAAAAATTCCTTCAAAGAGAAAATCCACAAGAGCAAACTGGATTTACCAAAGGTAGAGGCACTCGAGAACACCTGCTGAATATAAGACAGATAATCGAGAAATCTAGGGAATTCAACATCCCACTATATATCTGTTTTATAGATTACCGTAAAGCGTTCGACAGGGTCAAGTCGAGACACTTATGGTGAATACTAAAAGAAGTAGGCATACCACAACATCTAATTACGCTTATAACCGAACTATATGAACACACTACTGGATCAGTTAAAGTACTTGACACACTTTCGAACGAATTTCATCCAGAACGGGGTGTCAGACAAGGATGTATACTATCTCCACAATTATTCAACATATATGGGGAGTATATTATGCGAAGAGCACTTGAAGTATGGGAAAAGGTCATCTCAATAAATGGTCATAAACTAAACAACCTACGTTTCGCAGATGACACAGCCCTTTTTCCAAATAGTCAAGCAGAGCTGATAGAACTTATACGACTTATCGAAAACGAAAGTCAAATATTTGGTCTGCAATTAAACATATCAAAGACAAAGATCATGATAGTGGATAGACTACACTACAATCATCCACACATAACCACAATTGACCGGTTCGAGGTTGTGAGCTCATACTTATATCTGGGATCATTAATCACAAACACAGGGTCATTACAAGAAGAGATTAAACGTAGATCTGATCTAGCAAAAGTTGCCACAGCAAAAATGACCAAAATATGGAAGGACTGTCAAATTTCAAGAGCGATAAAGATGAGGTTGATCAACTGCTTAATATTCCCAATACTGACCTACGGATGTGAATATTGGACTCTAAGACAATCGGAGATAAGAAAGATAGACGCCACTGAAATGTTCTGTTGGAGACGAATGTTACGAATTCCTTGGACCGACCGTAGAACAAATAATTCAATTTTAAGAGAGCTAAAAATTAGCCAACGACTCTCTAGTAAAGTCCATCTCCAACAATTAAAATATTTTGGGCATGTTATGAGAGCAAACACAGAAAACATGGAAAGACTCATAGTACAAGGAAAGGTCGAAGATCACGAGGAAGATCCCCAACAAGATGGATAGATCAAATTACAGGAATACTCTGGAGACGGACAATACACGACATCACGTCGACCACTACACTCCCCCTGGGGGGTCAGGATTGAAGAGAGAGAGTTAAAAACATAATAATACTCCAGGTACATGGAATACTTCAGTAAAAAGGAAACCGCAAAAATATATATTGGATTTATCTATTACGAAAACATGATTTACAATACGCTATCTACAGCTTGAATCAGATATACAATAATTATAAGTTAAAAATATCAGTTAAAAAGATGAAAGTTGTGGCTTTTAAAGAAAATTACAGTTCATAGTTTAGAGCTGGATACGGAACAAATGATCAATTGCAAACCATTAAGTCGTTGATTGAAAAAACCATTGAATATAATAGACCCCTGATACTTGTCTTTGTCGACTTTGAAAAAGCATTTGATACAGTCAATCAAAGTGAAATGCTCCAAGCTCCAACACAATGTAGAATAGATCACCGATACATATCTCTCATCAGATACATCTATCAACATGCTACAGCCTGTGTAAGATTTAATGAAGATACTGGGACTTTTCGTATTGAAAGAGGCGTTCGGCAAGGAGACAACATGTCTCCTAAATTATTTACAACTTTGCTAGAATACGCTTGTAAAACAATAGATTGGAACGAAAAGGGCATCAATGTAGATGGAAAATTTTTAAATAACCTTAAATTTGCAGATGATATCGTTCTTATTGCAGACAGCTTTGATCAGGCACAGATATTGCTCCAAGAACTCCATACTACCACAAAAAGAGTTGGTCTTAAAATAAATTTTTTAAAAACACCATTTATGACAAATTTAGTCCACAACAAAAACATTTCAGTAGAAGACAAAGATATTGAGCCAGTTGACTCCTATAAATACTTAGGCCATGAGATCAGAATAAGTCGAGACAACCAAACAATCGAGCTGAAAAGAAGAATAAACCTCGCTAAGATTCCAATGTGTCTGAAAAGAAAAGTATTTAATCAATGTATTTTGCCAGTACGGCGCAGAAACCCTAACGCTCACAAGAACAACAGTGAGTAAACTACAAGTTGCGGAAAGAGCAATGGAGAGAATTATGTTAGGGATTTCTCTACGTGATAGAATACCCAATGCTACTATACGCAAAAGATCAGGAGTAGCAGACGTTATTGAAAGGATAACAACACTAAAGTGGAACTGGGCAGGTCATGTAGCAAGATCAGTTGATGACCGGTGGACAAAAAGAATTTTGGAATGGAGACCCCGAATACAAGCTTACAGAAATAGAGGTCGACCCCCAACGAGATGGACAGATGACATAAAAAGAGTGATTACAAATTGGATTCAGATGGCGCAAAATCGGACTAAGTGGAAAAGCATGCGAGAGTCCTATGTTCAGCAGTGGACGTTAGAGGCTAGTTGATGATGATGACAGTTCATAGAACAAGAAAGTTCATAGAACAAGTAACTATAGATATATTATACAAATAGACTGATATCTGCAATACAGGCCTATTCTCCTAGTGCGACAGAGACAACTGAGGAAAACCTGCATATCTTTCATATTTACCAGGTTTATCGACCACGTGACATGATTGATAAACCCGGCTTATTAAGGTAGGTTTGTTCACGCATGGATTTGCTGGTGCCGTTAACCACGCCAGTCCTGTTTGTACGCCAGGTAAGGTTTATACTAGATTTAACAGAGCACAATATTTTGGCAAGCCAGTTTTATTTTTAATTTAAGTTTGCAGTCCAATATTACTTTTAGTTCCTACTTTTTGTAGTCGTTTACATAATAGTAATATGTCAATCAAGGAAATAAATTGGGAGTCCGTTTAGAATGTCGTTTAATGATAAAAAGTACTGTTGAAGAGATGATTATCTGTGTGAAAAAAAAATGATAAGAGGAGACGTTGAATTTGGATTAATACTGGATTACTACAAGGTTCTGGGAACTCAATTTTTTACCTCGTGAACTGCTTATTTCAAGTTATATTTGTTAAGTTTGCTTAACCACAAATTTAAATATGTTATAAAATAATATCTATATATTATAATGTTATTTTTGCAAAATATTATAATTTAAAATAACCACATAACACAAAGGTTTACATGTAGCGCTTAGGTAAATGATTACTGGCGCATGAAAAGCATTTTTTGGACTTGCTCGCCACAACTCGCCAGTAACTGTTTATATATGTCATTTGTTTTACTGGCACGCCAACAACTGGTGTCAGCAAATCTATGCGTGTTTAAACTCGCCTTTAGAAAGTGATGCAGGAACTTCTTTGAGTCAGTTTTCTCTTCCATGGGAGAACACGACTGTATAACAGCAGTCAGTCTATTTGTATTATATATCCATGCAAGTAAAGGTCGATTTAGATACATCAGTCACGTCTCGTCACAGTGATTGCGCCGAACCGGACAATCCGTCATACAATATTCTTTAATACAAATATGTTGCCAGCATTCACACTCATCAGTTGACAAACAGTTTCCCAGCTGTCAGATAGTTGATAGTTCTATGACCAAACAGGATCGGTTCGGTGCCGAGACTATGACGGGACTGATGTGTCTGAATCGACCTTTACACGTCAACAGTCAACAGACAAAAGGGACAATATAGAATAGGGCATAATGTTACAATAGACAAATATAACTTTGAAAGAGTGGAGAGTTTTAAATATCTTGGAGCAACAATCACTGCAGATAACGATATCGCGGAAGAGAATAAAGCAAGAATTCAGACAGCAAACAGATGTATGTACAGCCTCCACAATACTATTAAATCTAAAAGCCTAACACGAACATCAAAGATTAGAATATATAAAACGGTGATTAGACCGGTGCTCATGTATAGGTGTGAGACGTGCACCCTGACCAAAGAAACTGAAAAAAAACTTAGATGTTTTAAGAGGAAAATTATTAAAAGAATCTTTGGGCCTCATCACGACATTAATAGCAACCAATACCGAATGAGAACAAATGCTGAGGTCAAGCAAATATATGGAGCCAGCGACATAGTCCAAGAAATTAAATCCCAACGTCTAAGATGGCTATGTCCATAGACTCCCTAATAACCACCTTGCCAAGTTAATATAGAATGAAGCCCCCATAGGAATATAAGGCCCTTATGACGTCCACGAATGCGATGGAGAGACATTATATATTCAGATCTAAGAACAATGGCGCTCTCCCACTGACGCCACTATTATGGACGACCGTTCAAAATGGAAGCAAGTTGTGTTAGTCAGC